CCGCCTGCTCCCCTGAACGCGCCGCTGCTCCGCTTCTTCCCCTCCCTCACCTGAGAGGGAGGAGGGAGAAGCGGAGCAGCGGCACGCCTGGCGGAGCAGGCAGAGCGGAGATGAGCTAGGGCAGGAGGTTGCGGGGGGCCCGCAGGAAGCAATGGGGGGTGGGGAATGCAGCACGCCGGGGGAGGAGGCGGGGCTGGGGATTTGGGGAAGGAGTGGAGTTGGGGCAGGGCCGGGGGCAGAGGGGCACGAAAAAAAAGGGGGGGGATTTTTTTGCTTGGGGTGGCAAAAAATCATGGAGATGGACCTGATCTCACCCTATCACAGCCTGCGAAAGGACACCCCCACACACACTGAAGATGAGAGCTAGAGAGCTCCAGTGGGGTCTCCCCCACTGCTGGGATACAAGGCCTCTGAGGGGCTCAGATTAGACAGATCTGTCACTGCCTTGGGGAGAAATACCTCGATGTGCTGCCTGGCAGGCGGGCATGAATCTGTCTGAGCGTGGAAGGAGGCACTGAGGAAAATTTGAGTCTCCAAACTAGGCTCAGCACACAGTGAGGTCCAGGGTTCCATATGTCCAGTGGCAGGGAGTTCCACAGGACCCATTCACAGTGCCGTCGTCCTACGGGAGCATGGCCCATATGTGTGGGCATGTCTCTGGGATCCCCAGGGGGACGTATCCCGTGGAGGCTAGGGTGATGCATTTGCAGGGATCTGTTTGGCTGTACAGTCAGGCAACTGTGATGCAGCTGGAATCTTTTCACATCGGCTCCCAGCCAAAATAAGCTAGGCTGCAATGGCTGGATCCCTCCAGACAGGTCCATGTCCCTAGGACGGAGTGACCTCTGCTGGCCAGGGAGTGTTTTGAGACAACATGGCTATTTGAGTAACATAACGAGAGGGTTGTGGGGTGACAATGGGGCCCAGTGAATCAGGATTCAGGGACCCATCTCTGCCACCAAATCAGTGGGTGATCTCGAGTAAGTCGTTTCCCACCTCTCTGTGCCTTAGTTTCCCCTCTCAAACTGTCTCTCTATGGGTTGTTGTTTAGATTGAGAGTTTTTAAGGGCAAGGACTGTCCCTCTGCACAGTGCCTGGTTCACTGGGGTGCAGATCTCAGCTGGGGTGCTAGCACAATGCCACTGACAAGTTAAACATTCATTCCTAATCCTAACTGCCACCCTGTAGGTGCCCCAAAGGGGCTGACAAACCGGCTAATCCCACAGACATCAGAGCGAAAAGGGTGGCACTGTTGGATGGAAACCCCTATGGTGCCAAAGCTACACAGGATCCATGACAGGAGCAGCTGGCTGCATCGAAGCAGCTGGGAATAGGACCCAGGAGTCCTGACCTTCCCCACCCCCAACACCTCCCTTCTCAGGACATGTGCCAGCCTCTCCCTGACAGTGAGTTGGGGAAAATTCCCACGGAGACAAGGGTGTGATCACTATTCCTAGCACTTGGAGAGCCTGCGATAGACAGGCCCTCCTGCAAAGAGCTGTCAAGGTATAGAGACTCAGAGTGAGGAAGGGAAACTAAGGCACCAGGGGGAAGTTATTTGCTTAAGGTGGCCCAGGCCAGTGGTAGAACTAGGTCTCCACCTGGTTCTCTAGCCACTGGACAACGCTTCCCCTGCAGGAGATGAAGCTGGCAGTGCCCATGTCCTAGGGGCAATGGTTGGGAGAGAAGACCTGTCCTGATTCCTTCCATGTCCCTTCCATTCGCAGGTTGGCCTGCCTGGTGCTGCCCCCACTGAGACTGCTGGGAGCGGTGGATGGAGCCGGTTAACACCTCGCACGCCAACCAGACGGAACCCTTTATTCCAGCATCATGGCGAGCAGCCTTCCTAATCGGCACGCTGGGCATCGGGCTGCCCGCCAATGCCTTCATCATCTGGCTAACAGGGTGGCGGCTGCGGCGCCGGGGCCTCTCCGTCTTCATCCTAAGCCTGGCCACCTCTGACTTCCTCTTCCTCTCCACCTCAGTCATGCAGATCATGGAGACCCTGCTGGACGACAACTGGGTGCTGGGCACCCCCATGTGCCGCCTGCGCCACGTCCTCTACGACTTGAGCTACCACTGCAGCCTCTTCCTGCTGGCCGCCCTCAGCGTGGACCGCTGCCTGCTGGTGCTGCTGCCCCTCTGGTACCGCTGCCACCGCCCCCTGTGGCTCTCCAGCTACATTTGCCTGGGCGCCTGGCTGGTGGCCGCCCTGCTCAGCATCAAGGGCTTCGTCTTCGCCAACGTTGTCCTGCAACCAGATGGGGTGCTCGTCTGCTCTAACAACCGGGGCAAATATGAGTGGCCCCTGCGCCTGCTGGAGGTGCTGCTGGAGGGACTCTTCCCCTTCATCGTCATGGTGACCACCCATGCCACCACCTTGTCCCGCACCTTCCGGCGCCACACCCGGTCCCCCAGCCAGTTCTACCGCATCGTGGCCGCCACCCTGTCAGCCTATGTGCTGCTCAACCTCCCCTTCCAGATCATCCAGCTGCTCTTTCTGGTCTCCTGGCAGCACAAGGAGTTCAACTATCGCATCTTCCCCTTCATGGTCTACTTTGGCTACCTGATCAACCTCAACAGCAGCATCAACCCTCTCATCTACATCTTCTTCGGCTCCAACATCTGCACGGGCTGCGGTCGCCACACGACCTCCTCCCTTGCCACAGCCCTCACCGAGGAGCAAGGGAAAAGCCCTGGGGACACGCCCAGCACGTCCTTCTCAGCCTAGCCCTGCCAGCAAGACCCTGCTCTCCTCTCCCTTCGTGGCCCAGCCCCTGCTCTGGCCCAGCTCCAGTCACCAGTCGAATGGCCACTGGCTCCCCTGACTGGGCCTGGCCACAAGGAGGCGGGTCTGTGCACGATTGTAGGTTCACTAGTGCTAAGCCTTGTGTAAATGGGTGCAAGGTGGGGCTTGGTCAGGCATAACCAGATCCAGGAAGCTACCAGGAGAAGTTACACCAGTGCCAAGGCCCAGTTTGCCCCATTTCCTCAGCCTAGGCAAGCTCCAGCGGGGACAGATCCTCAGCAGATGCAAACCAGGCCTAGCTCCATGCAGGTCAATGGCCCGGGAACACCAGGCCCTGGGCAGGGCAATGTAAACACTGACGTGGCTGCAGCTGCCAACCCACAGGTGCCAGGAGACACTGCAATGAAGGGGACTCTGCCCCTTTGGGCCTATTTGTGCTGGGCAATCTTGCCTTTAGGTGTGGCTCCAAGGTCACTGTGTTTTAATACCGTGGCTGTTCTGCACACTACAGCCAGATTCCCAGCGCTGAGGATACAGGTGCCCCCCTAACTCTGTCCCCCTGAGCCCCTGCAGCCTGACTGTTCTGGCCTGCAGAAAGCAGGCCCAGTCTCCTCTTAGCACACATGACTATGACACAGAAGCTGCAGCCCAAGTGTATGTTGTGGGGGGGCTGCATCAGAACCACACACCCGAAGGGTCAGAATTAAGGCCATGGGACTGTCCTGGGGATCCTCACCTTCCCACACCCACCAGGGGTGGGTACTACTCCCCCCTACCACACAATGGGGGCAGGCCAGCCCAAAGAGGGCCACACCCCACAGCTTTAATTCTGACCCCTTGGGCATGTGGTTCTTTAATTCTGACCTTCCACGCACACACACAGAGCTCCCCCCCAGTTTCCCCCAGCAGGGTGTCCAGTGTGTGGGCCTGGCTGCCTGCCAGCACTTCCTGCTAGGGACTCAGAGCCATCTTTGCCCCCACCAGGCAGGTGGGGTAAGAGAGGTGCCCTGGATATGCGCTGAGCTCATGTCAGCCCAGGGGCTCCCAGGTGAGTGACCGCAGGTAGGGGCATGGGGGATCAAGGGGAGAAGGGGTCCCCCAGCCCCGCACCCCCAGCCCCGCTCTGCCGGCCCCGGCCGAGCACCCCCAGCCCCGCACTGCTGGCCCCGGCCCCGGCTCCCGGCCCCCAGCCAAGCACCGCCAGCCCCTCCCTCCCTATTTTCCTGGACATGTCCGGCTTTTTGGGATTTCCTCCCAGACGGGGATTTGAGGCCCAAAAAGTCAGACATGTCTGGAAAAATCTGGACGTATGGTAACCCTAGCCTTGGTATTCACCCCTTCTTGTCAACTGTTGAGAATAGGCCACTTCCACCTTAATTGAATTGGCTCGTTAACATTGACCCCCCACTTGGTAAGGCAACTCCCATCTTTTCATGTGCTATAATAAATATTCTGCTTACTGTATTTTTCACTCTGTGCATCTGATGAAGTGGGTTTTAGCCCACAAAAGCTTATGCCCAAATAAATTTGTTAGTCTCTAAGGTGCCACAAGGACTCTTCGCTGTTTTTGCTGAGACAGACTAACACGGCTGCCCCTCTGAAACCTGCCCCATGCTCTGTTAGCACAGGTGGAGCAGGCCCAGCAAGCTGTAGCTAAGGCCCAGGCACCCCAGCAAGAGCAGAGCACCATGCAGAACGGGTCTGAGTCACAACAGCTCCCCGCAGTCCGATTCCACTCCCCTCCTTGGGGCCGCATTCTGCCCCCTGCATCCCACAGGCCACCAGTCGCCTCATACAGTCACAGTTGCTGCAGTTTTACGGCCCCATCTCAGGGCTCCTTTTACCCAGCGGTGCCAGGCTAGGGTGGGCACCCCATCTGTGTGTGTCCTCCTGGGCTGCAAGGAGACTGGGATCGTCCATTGCATTTGCTGTGCTGTCATATCCAGCACCAGTGGATTTGTGGCTTGGAGTGACCAGTACAGATGCTGCTTGGCCACCTGCTGCACCCCATATGCTAGCAAGGTTTTGCTCTGCAATAAGGCTGCTGTGCCAGTCCGGGTAGCGTTAAAGCTACTGTCACCCCCAGGGAGGTGGGATCACACACCAGTCGTGAGAGGGACATCCTGTGTCTGACAGCCCACAGCAGGTCTGCCCCCTGTTGGCCCAGGCTCCACGATGGGTGCTGAGACAGACCTGTGGCCGTACGTCCCGCGCACTCAGCACCCTTCCCCGTCTTACGCATGTGTTCGTGTGATGTCGCTTGTCCTCTTTTTGGTTTTATTAAATGTGTTCCTGGAGAGCGTGTCCTGTGCTTCTTTGAGGACCTCCGCAAAGGGGTGTGGTGAGCCGTGTATCTGGATTGGAGCCAGTGTCCCCTGGAGGGGAAAAGCCCCGGGTCCCATTCCCTGGTTCCCGGAGCCAACCAGTCCCCATTACACACTCCCGCCCTGGTTTGACAGAGGGAGCCCAGAAGGGGATGCTCCATCTCCTCAGTCCCTGGGGTGTGGGGGGGTTCACAGCAGTCAGGCCCAGCCCCCCATAGGTATCTGAGATGACAGGATCCATCCTCACCTCCCTGTGGCTCCCCTGAACTGGCCCATCCCCCCCATGTGTCCCAATCCTGAACCATCCCCCCCATACTGGCCCATCCCCCTCCCACTGTCCTGACCCATCCCCCCCATGTTGGCCCATCCCCATTCCTGCCCCCCCGCTGCCCCATCCCCTCCTCCAGCTGACTGCCACCACACACACACACACCCCCCCGCTGCTCGGGGCGGGGCGGGCCGATCTCGGCGCAGCCAATCCCAGACCCGGCCCACGCAGGTGGAGGGGGCGGCCTCCCCCGCTACTTCCTGCCTGGCGCCTCCATCCACCAGACAGCGGCCCCGACCGCCAGCCGCAGCACAGCCGGTGAGTGCGGCCCCCAGGTGAAGGGGGCCGTCGGGGTTTGGGGGGGTCCTTACTCCTGCTCCGGGGCGGGGTCGCCGAGCGTTCTGGGGTGGCCCTAGCCCCCGGGGGGTGTACAGGGAAGTCGGAAATGAAATCCTGCGGGTAAATGGTGAAATCGGGGAGGTGCGCATGTTACAATGTGCTTCTCCCCTCCCCCCCCTTCAGTTTTGGTCCCTCTGGCCAAGCAGAGTTCATGGTATTTTGCCCTCCCGTCTCCAGGGTGTGCCCCCCGCGGCTGTGGCAGGGGCAGAGGTTTGCCTGGCAAGCTATTAACAAACTTCAACAGAACTTTATTTACAGTGAAAATCTCTTTACCAAGCTGTAGCTGCACACTCTGTAACTCACTTTTTCCTCAACTCCTCCCCCCTCCCTCCTGTTTCCTGGCTTTTCAGACTCCCAACAGCCAGTGCTCCCAGTTCTAATAATCACATGCAGCATCTAAACACCACATTCCCTCCTCTCTTAAGAAACTTTCCAAATTAAAATAAACGTTGTTCTAACCATAGGAACAAATATGAAACAAGACACTACACTGTTGGCAGGAATATTACACTTGTAACCCTTCTGCCCATCTAAGTTGGCAGCAACAAGGGCCGGGTTCTGTATCTAGGGGTTCCGTTTCAATAACACAATGCAAAACCGTCT